GGTGCCCTACGGTAACAACCATTAGATTTGTCTGGTCATTAAGTACGTAAATTTAATTTGTGCTGTTAGTATATGACAGAAACCATTAAGACATGTCATTTCAGTAAAGCAGCTTCCATGCTAAATATTTCTCAGTTTGAAACTTAGGAATTTAGACTTCTGTTATCCAGATTTTAAAAGGATTCTGCCTCAAAAGATGTTTTACTACTGCCTTTTATCTGCAAAACATAATCTACTTTTTGCTCTCCTAGGGAACATGTGTTCAAGTTCACAGATCAAAGTAGTACCTACCACTAGTAGTACCTAGTCCTAGTCATGGAAGTGAGCCATGTTCTCAGTTAAGGTTCTGCTGAACTGAGACTTCATCTTTATTTAAAATAACAGTATAAGAAGTTAAAACCACAGAAATCAAAGTTTATAGACTGAATCCATCTTTGTAGTTTTTAGGAGCTGATAAAACATTTTAATACTCAGTGACGTTATTTTGATTAATGATATTTTATTAGCAGGTGTCAGTAATGTATCTCAACTGTTTTGTAAATGGGTTCCTACCAAGAGCCATGACAGTTTTTCCAGTTGCTACTAATATTTGTTACCAATCCAATCGTATTCGTATGTAACTATGGAAAATTGCATTGTATGCTTGACATGCATTCTGTTTTCTCTCTGATTAATAATTATAGATTATTGCATTGTTATTTAAGTTATGATAGAAGCCCTGTTTATCCTAATCTTTTTTTTTATATATTCAGATGCGTTTCATGTATATTATATGTATGTGCAAGGGTTCATGCAGTGTAGTCCATTTTCATCTCTCATACATATGAACTTGCCAGATTTCTTACTGTAATTTCTGTTGTTGGTCTTTTCTGATTTTTTTCCGCCCAGTTTTTAATTGTCACAGTAGAATTTATACTTTTCTGAATTTAAGAAAGCCTTTGAAAAATAAGCAATATTTTTGTAAAATGGCCTTTTCCCCCCCCAACAATACTTTTCAAAGAAAACATGCAATGAGTCCTATTAGTATCAGCTCTGTTTAAAGTGGACCCATTGATACATGCTAGATCTTCTTTCAAGGCATCTTTCTACCAAGTAACTATAATGTAAATTAAGAGGAAACCCATGGAACGGGTAAGTTTTCGGTGTTACTGTCACAGTTGTGTGGTACATAATGTTTACCCAAATGTATGAAGTCTTGAGACTGCCTGTTCTGTTAAGACAGAAATTAACAGGAAAGAACAGACTGGGAAGAGGTGGGCGGAGGTCTCAAATCAAGTTTTCTGTATTTCAATAAGAAATTTCAGGTTTTGTTATTGCTAGAGAGAACAATACCATGTGCAACTGAAAACCAGTTAGCGGTAGGGAAGTGACTGCATGGTGGCACATGTCTAGTCCCCACATACAAAGGAAAAACTGTGGTAATTAAAGTAAGAGCAGGAATAAAAGAAATGCTTTTGAAAAACCAAAACAACTACAACTGCATCAGCCCTGGATTCATGGGCCTGTCACAGTGATAGATACGAACAAGAGAAGTGCTGGGATAAAGTAATATTTGCCTGCTTTCTATGCTACCTGGGTTTTTTTTCCTGTCTGATGTTTGAAATGCAGTATTCAGTGCCTTTTTCCCCTGCAGCCGCCTCTTCTCTTTGTCTGTGCTGGGATGTGGTATACTACATGAAATCTGGATATTGGACTCCAGAGCAAAATGAACTCTATTGCCTTAAATGATGTTAGTGCATTTTTCTGAGGGAGAAAGTAGAGTTTCTTTTTTTTTTTTTTTTTAATTTGAGTTAGTGTTTGTTCCTGTGGCCCACAGAGGATTCCACAGCTTTGGAATCATGGGAAGATACATGGTCCTCTTAATTACAGGAGTGCCATTTGTATTGCTATAGTTAGAGGTCTGCCAGCATTTCCATTACAAACCCTGGTTCAGTGGTTTATAGTTCAATCATAAAAATGTGGTGCTGCCCTTATGAATCTTGAGTCAGGCAATGATTTGTTCCCCCTCCTCCCCAGAAAAATTTTGAATAAAGAAGTGGCTGGTTTTAAAATATGAAAGCAATAAATAAGTGACTAGATGTTGACTATATAGTTGCATTCCTACAGTTTAGCAAGAAATTTATTTTTAAATTGCAGTATAAGTGACCTTTACTGTATAATGCTTTTGCAAGCGTTTTGGTTATTTTGAAACTAATCAGTTTTTTCATGCTTACATGCCTTAACTTAAATTGGTTAGACTGAAACAAATCTGTAAAAAGCAAGTCAACGTATTTTGGATTTAAAGACCAACTCTTGAAATGGTTCATAAATAAGAGTTAAATAAAAGACTTTTAAAGTATTCCTGGTTATTGATTCCTACAGTATTAGTCTAAGTACCCAGAAGTTCTGCGAAAAATACAAGTTGCCTTTACACAGGCACTGAAATGTGGCAGCTACAGTTATGCATGTAATATAAAGCACTGAGAGATGGGTTTCAGAATTGTCTGCTTGCCTGTGGTGGTAATCCTCGATTTCAAATCTCGAGGATGCCCTGGCACAAGAAATGTATAGGACATCTTTACTTAACTAATGGAATAATTTAACTAGGATTGCAGTAAATTTTTCATAACTGCAAGTCTTTAAATCAAATCTGGTTTTCTCCTGAAATGACGTAGCTTTGAGTTTGATGCAGAAATCAATGAAAAACTTCGATGGCCTGTGTTGCGTAGATGACAACTGTAGGACCCTGTAGTTTCATCAGGCTTTGAAACTGATATGTTAAAGGAGTAGATCCAAAGATTCCTTCTTTTTCTTCTGATCAGGCAGAGCAGAAACTGAGATTCTGTCAAAACACAAGCAAGTTGGGTTTGTTTGCTTAGATGTCCTTTATGTGTTTTAAAAAAAGAAGTCAGAACAAAACAATATTGCATTGGTATGCATTTTAGGAAAGTCCATTAAAAAAAAAAAAAAGAGATTCATGTATTGTACTGGGAATCTAAGAGTAAGCAGTATAGAATGTGTACCTTGCAGTGAATGCCCACTTGTTCTTGTGAAGATTTGGCTTTCAGTTAAAGTATTTTTAAAGCAGGCATCCTTAAAAGCATATTGAAAATAAATGTTTAAAATATAGGAAAAGCATGTTTTGCGCTTTAATTAGCTAATTTAATTAGCTCTATAACCCTACAAATAGGTTTGGATGTTACCAAAAGCCAAGTGACCTTCCTATTCTTTATCTCTTGATCTTAATGTCAATATTTACAATCCCATGACATTTTCCATGTAAATATCTGTGTTTGTGTGTTTCTGTGCAATGTTGTGCAAAGCACAGTGAGATGTGTGAACTCCATTTAACCTTTTGACAATCTTTTGTAAGTATTTGGAAAATACATTTCTCATAAAATCTCTAATAATTCGTAGTTTATTTTGTAAAGCATCAGCTTTTGACTTTGATTGTGTTTATTCTGTTAAAATTTGGTAATAAATTAAGGTTTCAGATCCCCTAACACTTACTGTCCTACTGATGCCAAGTTTAATTACATGTTGAGGGTGTTCAGTTTTTTATTTCTAGTTATAACCCTGTTCTACTAAGTATTTATATTTATGCTTGGTTGATAGAAATTGGGCCAGCAATGTGGCCCTGTGGCCAAGAAGGCCAATGGTATCCTGAGGTGTATTAGGAAGAGTGTGGCCAGCAGGTCAAGGCAGGTTATGCTTCCCCTCTACTCTGCCCTGGTGAGGCCACATCTGGAGTTCTGCGTCCAGTTCTGGGCTCCCCAGTTCAAGAAAGACAAGGAACCACTGGAGAGAGTGCAGTGGAGGGCTATGAAGATGAGTAGGGGACTGGAGCATCTCTCTTATGAGGAAAGGCTGAGAGAGCTGGGTCTGTTTAGCCTGGAGAAGAGGAGACTGAGAGGGGATCTTATCAATGCTTAGAAATATCTTAAAGGCGGGTGTCAGGAGGATGGGGCCAGACTCTCTTCAGTGGTTCCCAGCAACAGGATGAGGGGCAACGGGCACAAACTGAAACACAGGAAGTTCCATCTGAATATGAGGAAAAACTTCTTTACTTTGAGGGTGACAGAGCACTGGAACAGGCTGCCCAGAGAGCTGTAGAGTCTCCTTCTCTGGGGATGTTCAAAATCCACGTGGATGTGATCTCATGCAACCTGCTCTTAGGTGAGCCTGCTTGAGCATGGGGTTGGACTAGATGATCTCCAGAGGTCCCTTCCAACCCCAACCACTCTGTGATTCTGTGTGTGTGAAGTTCAATATAGGTACATTTCAGGTGGAAGAAAGAAGTGACAGCTGTACCCATGACTGGGAGATCTAAAACTTCTTCAAATGAATGATGGAAAAAACCCTGGTTATTCACAGAACTTTCTGAAAGACAGAACCATTATAATTTGATTGACTAAAGCATATTAATATGACTTTGCATATTTGATTTCCTAATCAATGGCTGAATTATTACTTGAATTCTAGGCAGAAGCTGGAGCCTTCCCTAGAGAACTCAGATATTCTGTAACAGAAGTTGGGATCTGCCTTCAAATAAAGGGTTTTTTGTGACATCATTGCTTTCATAAGTGGTCACAAAAAAAATTTACAGCCTTGCTAAATAATGGAAATCAAGGGGAAGAGGAAAAAGGTGATTAATTTGACATCATTAATGATTATAGCCTTGGAGAGTCTGAGTTTATGGGTCAGAAAACACAGTAGCAAAACATAAAATAGGAAATAGCAGAAATTCAGTTTAAAAAGTGAAGTCAAAAGAAAGACATACATAAAAGTTAAGATAGAAGTATACCAATTGTATGTATTGAGAATAAGATCAGAAAACATACACAGTAATTCATCAGAACACATAGTCTTACACAGATGAATAACATGTTCGAATAACCACATGGCAAGAACAGCTTTGGCTGTATTATGGTCATGTTTAAATAATTTTCATAAATGATGTAGCTTAATCATTTAACTCGTGGTTGCTCTCTCTAATATGTCTGTTTTGTTTTCCCCCTTAGCTAACAATGCCAACATTTCCTGTTGTTGTGAAGATTGGACATGCTCATTCAGGCATGGGAAAGGTGCAGATGCTACTTACTGCATGCTAGGAGGCCGGGTGTTTGTCTAAAATGATATGCATGTTCTTTCGTTTCCTGGGTATTTTAACTTTTCACTGTCCAATTTCTGTCTGAGATCCCTACCCTTGCAAATCTCTGCTTATATATTATTCAAGAAAGCACCTCTCTTTAGGAAAACATTAAAACGCACAATATATTTTCACATTGATGCCTTTTCAGTTTATGTGTTGTCCTACATAGGACGTTCTTCGAAATGTGCTGAGATGCTTTCTTGAAGCAGAACCTTATTTATTAATTTAGTTGACTGCAGTGAAACTATTTAAGAGTCAAGGTCTGTTTGCACAATCCAACTTTTTGGACCTGGGAATATAGGAAGGTTTTGCCTTGGTTCTTTACTAGTTTCAGTTTGATACTGAACTTTTCTTCATTTCCTGTCTTAATGTATTCTCTGTGATTGTTTCATACCACTATATAACTGCTGCTTTCTTTCTCCAAAGTAATTGCATTTCAGTGGTGAGTACAGTTGTTTTGATATCACTTATCTCACAATGATGGTTCAATGGGATATGATTTAAATCCCACTTTCATTGGTATCAGTGAAAATTTCTAGTCATTACAGATTAACCACTTTCACTGGAAACACTTCAGTGCTTTAAGTGCTTTAGATTTTAAAACAAATCATCAGAGAATAGTTAGATTTATCATCTTGAATCTCCAGAAGCTCCATGAACATGATATTTGCCACTAGCAAAAGAAATAGAAAATCAATTTAATTGTATGTTATTCAGTAATTATGCACGTTTTACTGTATGTTATGTTCTTTTGCCTATGACTGTTGTGCTTTATTTCATACTTAGTAAGTTAGTGGAAATCTGGCAGCCAATGTAATTGAGAGCACACTTTACCACTAATTACTTAAACTACAGTTTCTGTGGATTGCATATGCGAAGTGTTGGAATGTTTATACTGTACTTTCAATATTCACCTCATTTATAGAAAAGGGAAATAATGCACAGAAATGTTCAGCATATCAAATGTCTAGAAATGAATCTAGACTTTTTTAGCGATAAAATATTTTAAATCCTTAAAGATTAAACGCCAGTCTTTTGTAGTGAAATGCTTACTGTCAGAGTCTAAATAAAGGTTTTCCTCGTACCCCAGTCCTCCCTAAAGGCATTGCTAGGAGTTGTGTTTCCATTGGTCGTAATTAGACTTGCATATGCTATGAAGTTTTCAGAAACTAAGTTGAAACCAGGCATTGTGTCTGGTTTTGTGGCTCTCAAATGGCAAATTACTCTGTGGTGTTCTCCATCTGAGAGTTGAGAGCAAATACTTAGGCCTTATGACTTTTAGCTTCACCAGACCCCATTTAATATGCAAGTCCCATCTCACTGCTGTGGCACTCTGGCCCACAGGTTCCCTTTTAAGTACCAGATGACAGTGGAAGCAAACAAGACACTGGGCTTGCAAAGAGTTGCAAACTCTCCTAATATCAGATAACATGGCAAATACTAATCCCTGCCTCCTTTCCTCACCATTCTGAAATGTACTTTGGGTCAGTGTGTTGGAGTTCCAGTTTCCCTCTCCCATTTTCTACTAGTCCTAAGACTTCTCTTCTGAGTCCCAGTCCCTCCTCCCCATTTCAGCCAGCTTCCTTTAAGTCAACCATAGAGATGTCTTCTCCCTGTCCAAAAGTAATGCCTCTATCCTCTAAAGTCTCCTTCTCCCTCTCCCGCCAAATCAATATTCCCCACTTTTCCAATTCCCTCTTATTTCAGGATGTTAAAGTTGATGGGTTTAGTACCATTCACCATCTTAGCACAGTGTTCCACAACTAGGAAATCCTACTCCTTGAAAACCTGACTCCTCGCAGAGAAGTGGGAAAAATGAGAAAAACTGGTTCTGCTGTCTTGAGCCAACCCTCTGTGCTCCATGTGAATGCGCAGTCATCAGGATATCATGACCCTTCATCTTCTCCCTCCCAGGAGATACGTGATGTGATAGTACATGTTGTGCTCCATATACATCCAGTTACATGAGCAATTTACAGTATCAACAAGAATTCTGTATAAATTAGTGTTGCATATTATCACACCTTGAAAAATTCTAAAGCCTGCAGATCTAAAATTAACAATCACCACTTAAAAAAAAAATTGAAAAGCCGAATAAAATTCCACTGTCTGCAGATTGCTTTCTACAGATGAACAGGTAATATTTTGCCTAGAAAAATAGATAGTTAATGCAGGAATGTTATAGAATCTAGAAATCAGATAAAATATCCAGTACTTTTTTTTGTAAACTGATGCTGTCAAAAAACATACTTCTCATGAATGCCATTTGCAACTGAATTCTACATTTTGTTCCTAATTGCTCTTTTTTCTTTTGTATATGCTGTTTACTTATGGTATGATGACTACAGATCAAGGTAGACAACCACTACGATTTTCAGGACATAGCCAGCGTGGTAGCACTTACTCAGACCTACGCCACTACTGAACCCTTCATAGACTCCAAATATGACATCAGGATCCAAAAGATAGGCAGTAACTACAAAGCATACATGTGAGCCAAAAACTTACCTTTTTTCATACTTTTGTTTCAAAATTGATAAGTACCAATAAGATTAAGACTGTTGGATGGGTCTCTGAGCTGATATGGTGACTCCGTGCCTCCATCGTCATACTCTCTGAAAAGACAGTATTTTAGACTTTCTAGATTTATCAAGGCTTTTTTTTTAAGTTGATTGTGACTGGGAGGAGGAGAATAAAGCAAAAGGTGAGCCTGACACAGTGGTTTTCCTGCTAACCTTCATTTATTTTTTCATTTAAAGAAAGGAGCAGTTGGAAAGGGATTTGTTTTTATAGAGGACTTGTCAGATCAAGATTCCTTTGTATCTTTTCATGAACTTAGGGTCAAATTTTCTTCTCCCTCTAAGGACATTTAGATGGCATTCATCCACACAAACCTGAATCGAAACACATTAATGGAACAAAGCACTCTCCTTTTAACATAACACATGTAAGAAAAATTCTAATCTTGCAATGGCCTTCACATATATGGGTGAAAATGTCTTCTAATTTTAAAATCCAGGTGTTTGTTTAAAGATCATGTCTATACGAGAGGCAAAAAGAGTGTTTCAGTTTCAGAGACAACATTAAACTGACACAGCAAAACACGTTATCATGTAGTAGTTGAGCTATGGTAACTGTATTTATGCATATTTTTACTCTGTTTCAATTATCAAGCATCGTAATCTGACATACACTCACTTCATTCATGTTTTTAAGACAAATTAGATCATCTCATGTATTTGTTCCCTCATGCTTACAATTCTGAGGCAGAAAAATAAAACAAAACATGGATAAAAATACACATATGCATTTACATATGCACACCCACATACACATGCAAAGATATATCTCTAGGAACTCCTGTAACATTGGAGGGATCAGAGATTTCTTGTATGTTGACATTTGTAAAGGTACAGTCAAGTTCTTTATCAGTAAGAACTGTTGAACTCCAAGCAAACCATAAATACTAAGAGAAGCAAAAAGTTGGAACTGGGTTAAAGAAAATGCGTAAAACGTTTTATAACATTAAAGACAGAGTTAGCATTAAGCATCAAGTAACTTAGGAACAGCCAACAACCTCTATGAGAAAGTAGAACCTTTTGCCCAGGGGAAGAGGCAAAATATATCTCCTTAGGCTGATATTGGAAGGCCACATACTCTTGACTTCTCCCCTAAGATATTACTGTCTCAAGATCAAAACTGTATGAGTAACTGCTGGCCTTTCCTGACATATGACTTGAAGGGGTATTTGAGAAAGAACATAAAAGATTACGCCTTTCAAGAACAACACAGTAGTCCCTCTGCCCCTCACTGTATATCTGAGGGGCCTCAAGAAAGCACAACACAGAACTGGGTGGAAATACTGTTCCCATAGGTCAGATCCATCCAGCATTATGAACACTCAATCCTTCTGCTTTATTTTGAACCGAGAACTATCTAAATTTTACAAAAACAATGTGTTGGAATTTGAGTTGTACATAGTGACTAAGATACTCAAATAGCTTGTGAGGATCTAGAGGTTTCTGGAATCCTTTGTTGGTGATTTCCAGTGTTCTTGGTGATGCGGGACAGAAACTCTGTAATTCAAGCTCCCTACAGAATTTCAGGTGAGCCTATCCCACCTCTCCCTATAGGCAATAAGAATCATAAACAAATGCTTCTGAATTATACAGCTTTTAGACCCTGGCTTCTCCAGGAAAGTTAATTCCCTTTCTGCTTGCTTGTCTTACACTGGTGTTCCAGACTGTTGACTTTTCCTGGCTTTAGCCCCGTATCTGGAGTCATCCATCCTACTTTTTCTAATAGCACTATGCTATCCTACACTATCCTACACCCCAAGGTCACCTCTCTCCTATTTCTTCAAACCATACCTTGGTCCGGTCCCACTGCTTTCCCAGACCACTTCTACCTTTCTGTCTCTTAGTCCTAACCCCTTATGCCTAGTCTTTTTTATTGCCCCAGGTTCTCCCTTGCCCCTTTTATTCTACTCACTGCCACTCAACAGCCTTGCTCTCCCTCTACTTCCAGTTGCCAGTCAGCCTTCTTTCTCTATTTCAGACATTTTCCAGCATGAGGCTAGGATAGTACTTTTCTCTCTTGTTGGTGCTTTGACAGGCAGATTTCTTGTGTTGTGCTACCTATCTCTGCCCTCATCCGTTGTTCATAATAAACGGACTTGATTTGTCTCTGTCTTACAGCTCCCAAGTGGCAGAGTCTTAGGAATAAGGCCCAGCTCTGCTCTTAATGGTTATGACACACCAACAGATAGAAGCAGTCAGATGTAGTATTAGTAACTTGATGGTTCATTGCCTATGATAGAAATTGGACCACTGCATTTCATAGGAGAGAGCTCTACATAGACTAGAAATCTAAATGCTGTTCAGTCTCTAGAATAATTTTGGAAGAGTCAGCCATGGTAAATTTATCATTTTCAAACATGGTTTCTTCTTCACAGAAGCAGCAGTTGGCCTAAGACACAGCAAAAATAAGTTAAAATGACAGCCTGTTCCTCCTACCTTTTATTTATTTTTAAGTTTCTACTCAGAAACTATGGGTTCATCCAAATGCTAAAAGCCTAGCAACCATTTTTTCTCTAGATTCTTTCATACAGTTAAATCACACAAAAAATGAAATACCAGTCCATTGTTACAAAGCATCATGAAAAGAAGATTTACCAAATGTCTGAAAAATTCTTCATATGCATACATATACATTATGTCAGTAGAATATTGTTTTACAGCTGGCTCTCATTTTGTTCTGTGACACAGGAACAGAGTACTTACAGAGCCACCACAAAAAATACCAGCTGAACATTTGTTTTTGTAGTTTAAAGAGAGTTATTAAGAGCTTCAGTTTTGTAATTCTGTGGGAAATTGTGGTATAAGTGGATCCATGACTCACAAAACACTGGTGCTTATCATCTGTCAGTAGAGATTATAGCCAAAATGCAACATTGGATCCCTCTAAATACCACAGCGCCTCAAAACGTTTTGTGACGCATACTTAACTACAGTTGGTACTGTTACAGAATTCATCGGACTTCAAGGAAATAGAGTTAAAAGGGTCACACACAATGAAGAAAAACAGAAATACAAAAACACTACATCTAAATCTCCTCTCCAAAAGTAGTACTCTGAATCCATAACAATGTACTTTGATCAAAAGGTCAATAAAACAAAAGTAGAGCACATCAACCAAAGAAAGATAGTGCTATAGAATCAAACCACTAAGCAGGCTATCTACACAAGAATTTTAGGTAGACATTTCTACATCTTTTTCTAATGACAAGTCCCTGTCCAGACAACTTGGATTGCATACTTTAAATGGTACTAAATAAAGCAGCAAGGTGTTTGAAAAGGGGAAGTTCAAGTTACTATGAATTGTTTATACTAATCATAATTGCTTCTCCCCCAATTTTAAAACAGTTCTTCCTTCTTTGCAAAGACCAGATCACGTGAAAACATGTTAAGCCTAAGTGTAAAGCACCCAAAAGTGTTAGGAGTTGTTTTCTAGATTATTCAGTGTTTAGTAAAAGAGGAGGAAACAGTGATGTGAAAGACCCTTAGCAATTATCAGAACGGAAGTGAAGGGTGGGAAAGCTACATATTTCAGTGGAGGAAATCATATATGAATTATAGAAATCATATCTAAGGTTTGAAGTGCCACATGGTCTGGTCAGGTACTTTTGTATCACTTAACCATGGTCTAATGGAACAGCCCTGTTGTTTTGGAGTTCTGTGTGATAGACCTAACACCAACGGCTCCAGCCCACAAGCTATTGAGATTACACCAGTTAGGTTTGTCTCCATAGCATTCCTCTCAGTCCTCATCTGGTCCCTACAGCATCGGCGGAGCCAGCCAAGCATCCAGTCGTGAGACTGCTTCAGGTTCAATAGGGGACCTTTCACATTGTGGAGTGAAAGCATGGCTTAAAGCAAACCATCTTTTCTCCTCTAGTCAGTAGTGCTGAGATTACATCAGTGCAGCTGAGGATTTTGAACTAAATATTTCCTACAAGTCTTCAGGATGAATTTTTTTTTTTTTTTTCCCCTGATTTGGTCACATCTTGCTTCGTAAAAGACACCTTAAATAGTACATGCTAATGAATGCCTTTGAGAAGTCTGCAATAGAGTTGAATTGTGATTTGTGAAAAGTATTGTCCCTCTGATGCAGAATATGTGTGTAGAGTGGTAATGAACTTAAAATTTTTAATTTGTAAATACACACATATAAATAAATATCACTTGAAAAATGAAGCCAAAAATCACAAAATAGCCTTACTACTGGGCAAAGTTACCTTACACACAGCACTCAACATGCACCTTCCCCTTGCACTAGGTTCTCCCATATCAACGAAGAATATGGCACCTTACAAGAACTTTATGCCCTAAAATTCAGCTAACTTTATGAGGCTCCCATAGAAAAGTCAACATCCCCCCACAATTGCTACTGACCCTCTATTAACCTAACCCAATTAGGTTAATAGAAAAATGGAGAGAAAACTATAGCTGCTGCTTAATATATTTTTAATACATTACAGATGTTCCTATTATTTTACTAACTGGAAACACTTCATAATTTGTATCCTTAGCCTATTCCCAGTACAGCATTTAGGTTTCAGAAAACAGTAATCTTCTCAGCCCTGGTAGCAGTCCTAAGGTCTGAGGAGAAAAAAAACTTTATATGAATTCTTTTTTTCTTAGAGATTAAATAAAAGATTATATACTCAAGCCTTGACATAAACTGTTTAGATTATATTAGTAAACTAGAAAAGAGTGAAAACTGGAGGAGAAACCAAAATCCAGCTCTGAAACAGATCTGAGATCACTTCAGAGATGTTCAAAAGACAGATATCTTGATTTTCAAGTGTTGGGACCTAACTCTGCAGTGGTATGGATTTGAAACAAGAAACTGAAGCTTCAGTTTCTTGACATTTGCAGTAATAGCATGTTACAGGCTATTCAATCCATTTATAACTGACAACAGCTTATTGCTAACACTTTCACTTAATCATAGTAGTTTTTTTTTTAAAAAAAAGTCTTAAATGTATAAACGGGGCGCAGAACTTTCACAGCACTGCCATACTTCATAACATGCCTACAGTGAAGTGAGTATTACTGACAATTGTGATGCCTGTTAGAATTCTTTGTGTTGTAGATGTTCTGTTATAAGCTGCCAGATATGAAAGGTGTAAATACAACTATAGTATTCATGTGAAAATCAGAGTAATTTAAGAGATAATGAAAATATAAAACCACTGGCTGTCTTTGTAATATTGTCCCCCTTTCAGGAGAACTTCCATATCCGGAAACTGGAAGACAAACACGGGCTCTGCAATGTTGGAACAAATTGCTATGTCAGATAAGTAAGTCAAGTCTCATGTAAAAGGTAATTAAAAAAAATTAATGGAATTTTATTTTAAATGAATTTTTTAAAACTCACAGTAAATGCATGTCTCCCATTAATTTTGGAAAAAAATCTTTTAATTAGATGAAAGAACATGAGCCAAGAGTTTCCGTATGACTTGTCTCAGAGTTAACTACCCAAACTAAGTACTAGCCTTGGGTGCTTACATGCACCCTTGGCTTCCTACATCCATACCTGCACCTAGAAAACTACTGGAATTCCCTTCAGAATATTCTGTTTTTCGGATTCAACCTGTTGATCATTTCCTCTGGTTCACTTGTCCCCTTTTACCTAACAGTCTTACCCCATGCCACAGTGTTTTAAACTTTTCTCCTTCTACATCATCTATTATAACTAAGCAATCTGGTCTTAACTTTGCCTATTTAAATCATATTTTTCTTTTCTACTTTCAGTCCTGCTAAATTGCTTATCATTAATTTTTGAAATTTCCACTAAACTGCACTGTGAGCCTTTTTACCCAGAAGCTGGGATATACTGAAGCTTCTTTCCCTCGTGTCACCATTCCAGCTCTGTACTTTGGTTTACTGTGCTTTTCTTTTTCTCTCCCATCCTTATGCTGGATACTTACTGTATTCCAGTTAAAAACATTCTCCTTGCAGTACCATTTGGAAGCTCAGGTCTTCTATTGACAGAACTCTTCTCTCAGTACCGCTCATTTGCTCCAAGTTCCTCCACAACGTATAGGCCTCTTTTCCCTGCAAAATAAACGTGAGGCTTTTTGATGGCTATGAATTTTCTTTTGTTCAGCTTCTCCAAAGGTTGCTACCAGTGGAAGCTGAAAAAGCTCTGTACAATAAAAGTGTAATTTAAAAGGTGTTTTAAAGTTCAACAGTAGTATTTTTCTGGTGGTGTTTTTGTTTTTTTTTCTTTTCTTTTACGTCTGGAACCTACAGCTTTGTCCCTCTTATGAGCTGAGGGAGACACAGGAACTGAACCATTGCCTGTCCTGAGAAAGGTGAAACCAAATAAGATGGGAATTACAACTCCCTGCTGTCCAACGCCTGTCTAGACTGTGCCCTCACTGATCTCCCCTCTGGGGATGGAGTGGAGCCACATTATTTTCTCTTTTTCATTTCCCTCCCACCTTCCTTTAGAAAGTGAGGTTATGCCTTCACTGAGAGGTAAAAGAAAGACTGTGCTTTAGTGTGTATAATTACAGTCCATGAGGTATTCCTCTGTAAAAACACAGGCACTTTAGTTTTGCCGTAAGGAAAACTAAACAGTATCAAGTATGGGTAATGAGTTTGAAATGCTAACCTTGCCTAGCTACCTGACTATAAATGCTCTATGTGCTTTGCTGCAGCTTCCATTTTTGAATGTAAGATAATTAGAGCATAATAGGTATTTTCTCATTAAAAAAACCCAAAACCTCTTTTATGCTGATGAAGACCAAGGCACAGAAAAGATAGATGTTTTCTTATAACAGAAAGCAGTATGTATCCCACAGCCCCACTTTTTGTTTGATTACACATTGAAGTGCACAAAGCAGAGCAAGGAAGAGAAGGGAAAACTGACATTTTTCTGAAGAGTTGAAGTAGTTTAATGGCATACCAAAAGCAATGAAATCTGATGCATGTGCATTTCATTTATAATACATCTCCTCATGATTTAGGAAGAAGTATTTTGAAAGCACTGCCTGAGTTGACATTGTTGACTGAATGCAAATCTTAGTCTAGAAATTTAGAAAAGAAAGAAGAATGTGGCACAGTAAGGAACAATGATGAGGCAGAGACCAAGCACATTTCAATGTTACACGTTCTTATTGATGCCTCTATTTCAGAGAGGCACAGCTCCCCATATAGGACCAGAAGAAGAGAGACCTATGCTAATTGTGCACACCTCATCTGGCACAACAGATGTTTCATGTCAGACACATGAGGAACAATGCTTTATTATCTGTCAGTTCTAAGGCTGCTGCACACTATATTGGCTCTGGGAAAATAAGAACCGTGACCTCTTGTCAAACCTACTGTGCAAGCCTTGGGTTTAAAACACTACAGGCTAGTCCATCCAAGACCTCTCTTTCCAAATGTGACTGTATTTTTCCAGCTCTGTGTTTGTTGGCCGAAGATAGACTATTAAAAATACTTTCATAGATCTGATTGATGTTTTGGTATTTTAAAGAAAATGTCGTCTTTTTTTTTTTTTTTTTTATATAAAGTCCAGATATTTACTGTTAAAAGACAAGTTTTGCTGTCCTCATGACTTTCTAAGATACACGTTGGTATTTTACAGCAAAAAAAAAGTTATTTATAAGCAAGTGCATGCAAGCAGTCCCATCAGTTAGCGCATCTACAGATGTTGAAATTGTCAGGCATCCAAAAACCTCTCATTTTGGACAAAAAACATGTTTCTCACAGGAAAAAAAATATTTTCATTGCTAAAATATTACCATCAGGATTTTTTCAAAGAGTTGCATCAATTTCTTTGTATTCTGCTTGAAAGGAAAACTTCTCCACTGGAACAGACTTGATATAAGAAAATATAAAGAATGTGACCTAATAAGTTTACTTGGAAAGGATGCTGTTACAGAAGATATTTATATATGAATAAAACTCTCAGCCCAGCAATGAGTTTCCTTTGATCCTACAGTGAAGTCAAATGCTATGTTTATTACATCAATTATTTTGCAATGGAAAGTACTATGATGTGGCAAATCTATCATTATGGCTCAAAGGGTGGATCAGGAGAGAGCAGGAGAGGGTCTGTAAAAGGAAATAGCTCTCATTTATACTCAAACACTAGCCAATGAAAGAGAAAAAAGTTCATGATAAATAGCTGCTTTAAAACTGGGGAGGGCGGGGAGGGCAGGGGAGTTAAGCAAAACATGTCCTTCGATTGGTGGAACTGTAATATCTGCCTACATAGCCTTTCGGGATCATATCATCACCTACCGTCGCCCATGCACAGCTATGCTGTCAGTTAATGAAAGTTCTCAATGCTATTTTGTGTCCTGTGAGTTAATCCTTGCCATTGAGCAAACACACACAGTTTACATCAGCTCAGAACGCTCTCAGCAAAATATTATGGCTCCCTGTTATGTCACTAACAGTTCTGTACTTGATCATAGGAATTGCCTCACTTTTTCTAGTAAATCCCACTTCATTCCCTTGTTAGTCAGATAATCTGTCTATTCATAGGATGGATAAAGCTCTTCATGCAAGAACAATAAATCATATTACTGCATGTAGAATGGGTAAACTGTCCATTCCTCAGTCCATATTTCTTACTATGAGGTTAGAAATAAAATGTAGGGGTTCTTATGTTCAGTACTTTATGAAACACTAGCCACTTTTAGGAGTTGTAGCATTCCTCAGGATTCTTTAAATTTCTGTTGAATTTTACTGTAGCTGTCTGTAACCCTACACAAAGAATATTTTCCTTGTCTGCATGCTACATAACTTTTATGTAGTGTCATACATCTGTTTCTCTTGCATCATCTTAAGGGTTGTTTTGTCTTGATTTTTCTTTTGCCTTGTCCAGTGATGTACATATAAAGCTATCATTGCTACTTTGGAATACAGTTGGGTCCGTAATTTAAGACAGAGACTGTCATTCTAGTTTTCCTGGTAAAAGAATAAAACCCATCCATAATCAAGTACGCTACCAAGCATAACAGGCAAGAGGATTGTTACACCTGAATCTGTGCATAGATGCACAAGTTTGAATTTCACAAGAAAACAAAAGCCCTGTTCCCTACTTTCTAAAAGCTCTTGGCATCACCAAAGCCCCAAAAACTGGTCAGTTGATAAATTCTCCTTCTGTGGAGTTCTCACATAAAGTACAGCCCCAACTAGCAAGCTGTACTAGCATAAGGGCACTGGAAACGCAGAATGGGATATAGCTAAATGCTATTTGTGTTTCAGCATATCTAATCTTCAGGTTACTCACAGTTTAGGGCAGACACATCTCTGGACCAATATAAACTGGGACAGAATCCAGCATAATACTAGGTCAGGATACAGAGCCACAACTTTTCTGGATTCTGCTGGGAAAAATAATCAGGCCAGTATCTCTAAGCTACTATTCTGGGAAATACAAATTCAGTAAAACTGTCACTATAGTGAAAATTCTGAATTTAGAGCAAATGTTGTATAAAATACATTACTAGGTTAAGCCTATAGAAAAACAAGAGCCTGAGGAGATACTCACAGAAAAAAATATTTTTCTGAAACAGGTACAAGCTTTGGGTTGACACCTGTTCTGAAATATTTGGTGGTTTGGACATCTGTGCTGTTAAAGCTGTACATGGAAAGGATGGAAAAGATTATATTTTTGAGGTAAGCAATCCTACTCTTTTCAATATATGCTTTTATATATTACAAAACACCCACGTAAAGAACATTTGTGATAGTTGGGCATTGGCTTATTTGTGTTTCAGGAAAGGCTGTGTATTTTTGAGCAACGTTTAAATCGTAATACAAAGCCACATGTCCAAGTTAGTGGCAACACTTGCTGGAAAATGTAACCATATGTATGGTAATGTCTTTTAGTGTTTGAGGAAATGTACACAAACTACAAAACAAAACCAAATGTGGATGTCACATTTTCCCGACCCTTATGATTTCTTTCCTGAGCAGGCTTACCAGTTTTTCCTGGAAGGTTTATAGATAGCACTATCCCAAGGGAACCCCAACAAAATTATACCTTTACATGGAAAGGAAAATTAAGAATGAAGTGGAAACAACTTTAATTTTTTTCTATCCTAAATGTTACCTTAAGATCTGATTCCACATGAATCGGAAGTTTCTGCTGTAGATAATTTTGAAAAGTTCAAGTTTCTCATTTACCTTAAGTTTATTATGGATAAATATAACTTTGTCTAGCCATAAAACAAGATATCATCACATGCCTATCACACAATTCAGGATTTCTTCAGCATCTTCCATGTTCTTAGAATTTTATTCAGGAGACAGGCAAGGATCTTCAGAACCTCCCCACTAAAAAGAGGTTGACATTTGCTAAAGCAAAAGTAAGAGTATTTTTTCTAAACCATGACAGTAATCTGGACATTATGGATTGACCCTCTCTACTTATTTGTATCCATTTATAGCAGAAAAGCTTTGTAGAGGTAAAAGTCTTTGCTTTGTCACAGTGTTAAACAGCTCTATATTTTCTTCCCTTCACTTTTCACAAATTTATTTATCACTATTGCAATTGCTAATAATTCACAAGTCAATCAATAGCACTTTAAAGAACTGAGCAGCTTGCAGCATTAAACCTGCAGCAAAACAAACAGACTTAATGACGACCTCCTGAGATGCTGAGGAAGATGTCAAGAAATCCTGTTCCCTTAGTCTGCCTGGCCAAATCAGAATTTACTGTGTCTTATTGTATCAAAACTCACTGTAGCATGAAATTTAGGATTCCATACTAAACCTCCTCTGTTGCTCCTTCATATAGCGTGGTCTTTCCCCTCCATCGCACCCCAAAGTTCCTGTTAAATCTCTAATGCTTCATCTAGTGAAATCTGGCTGAGATTTGAAAGAGTGAAAAAAAAAGTATTTTCCTCTTTCTGAAAAAAGACCGCTCCAACTTCTGGTGATACGATATAGAGGAAATGCCTGAACAAAAGATTTGTCGTGTGCTACTTCACAGCTTGGCTGTAGCCACGGGTGTATCTTGGACATTTCTGCTTACTGGGCAGGTATTGATTTCTGCTCACAAGTAAGCTCCTCTCAGGCAGCTGGGCTTTGGCAGCCTCCCATACGCCATTTAAAGCTTTGCAGGATACTCTGCAGTTCCCATAGCCCCTAAATGTCTCAGAGGAGGTCCCAGCATTTTCCACACACACCCATTTATCTAAATTAATTACATTTGAGATAGTTCATGCTGATTTGGCTGGCTTTAATCTGATAAGTTTTGACTCCCCCAATTTAAACTATAAAGTAAAGAAATGTAGATTATTTTAAGACATAAGATCTTGGTTATCTTACCTCATAAGATAGTAGTTAAAAACTGAAAGATTGCATGCAAAAAGATACAAAACTAGAGTAGGATTGCATTTAACAAGTATATTCTTGTGAGAACTACAGGTTTCAGACATAAAACAATGTTGTTTCTTATACACTGTAGCTAAAGCTAGTCTGCAAAATGATTGGCATAAACCCACACTACTTAGTCCCTCCTACCGATCTCTTTTATTCCATACTTTCTTTTCATCCTGCTGTTTCTGTACAAATATAGTTGGACATTTTCTGCTTCCAACGGAATTGAAGTATGTCTCCTTTATTTTAACAGTTGACGCTTCTGTGGCATTCCTCAGTTAGCAAATTCCTGTCAGACTAAATGCACTTCACTTTCATTCACTGAACTTGACTGTTTCCACATTTTTGATATTGCACAATTTTTCAAATTTTTGAACAAAGCCAGCAAGCATCATCGGCTTCCACTGAAGTCAGGTTCACAAACTAATTCCTGCATCAGCCCTGGGAGGTCTGTTGGGTAGGAGAAGCGGGAGCAGTTTTTTGAAAATGAAATAGCCAGTGCAAATTATATAATGGTACCAGAGTACCCCACCTCCTGCTTCTGAACAAATCCCCTAATTTTCCATGCCAGATATAGTCATGCTTTTAAGCCAACAGAATTCTGAGAACTGCTGGATACATCAGGAACTGGGTTTATAGAGCATTTTAAGTAGTGTAGATAATAGAAGTTGCAATTAAAAGAAAGAGTGGATAGAAGCGTGGTAATTCTTGCTGTTCTACCGAATCAGCTGAATTGTTTGGAAGATGATAATGTTCACCAGCAAGAATATTTAGAATCTGGATAAGACATTGAAATGTAGAATTGTTTGCAAAGTTCACATCCACAGAACATCTGTAAAACTTATGATCATTTGCTACTAAAAAGCCAGCTTACATCAACAGTTATTACACTATAATTTTAACAGTTATTGCGCTGTAATTACATGATACAATGAAGAGTAGAAGACCGTCTGCACCAGTATAGGAAAATTTTTTGCCTTTTGTGTACTTCCAACATGGAAAATAAATGTGTTATTAAGGCTAGCACGTACATGCTGCAATCAAGAACCAGTAGCTGAGTAGGACAGTCAATTCATAAATACTGGGTTTACACTCCAGTTGCAATCCCATACTGAAACCTATGCTCTCATATTTTCCTGGTGACTAGGGCACCTACTACAAAACTAAATGTTTCTGTATTACTGACACTTTAATTCTGCAGATATGATCTGACAAGAAACATAAAAACTTCCTAATGTATGAAATAATATATGCAGATATGTTCTTCCTGATTTTTCAGTTTGAACATTTGACCAGCGTAACCACCAATGGGAAAGCATACATATATTTCAGCCAGCTTCCAAGTGAATGTGAATTAGGGTAGAATTCTATGGAAGTATCCTTCATATACTCATCATTCTGGACAGAAATTAACTTCAGAGGGATTTTCTGTAGTAAGGTTGGGAGAGCCGCATTTTACAGGAATGAGTACTTAGTACATAGTATATGTTTTGACAGAGGTGTTCAACAAGAGCTTTAGTACCTGCATAATCCAAGACAATAGTTTTAAAATACCACAGTGTTTAAGTATGACATGTAACAACTAATCTGCTTAAAAAAATCCATCTAAACTCATGTTAGAAAGTGTAACACATAAATGACTTTTTATATGACTATTTCTGGAAGGTTGTTAATTAATTTCATATTGTTCTTTCCTTTTTTATCCTATACCAATAACTTTAGTATTTTGGTGTTGTAGCCATTCAACTGCTTTGTGATGGTCATTTCATCATTCCTTGGTTTAACATTCTGCTTTCTTTTATTCCCCAAAACAATGGAGCAACAAATTGTACCAGTGGCTGATATTAGAGAATCAGTACAACATTGTGTGTCATGAATCTATGTTCTAGCTGTACATCTTAAAAAGCACCACTATAAAGTGATTCTTTATCTATGATCTAGTATGGCATGCTTACGTTGCAGGTAAGAATGTGTTGGTTCTTCATGTTAGATCCAGTCATCATGCCCCACTTTTTCAAGAAGGGTAAACATTTTTTTTTTCTGTTTTAGTTTCTCTAATAGTTTCTCTTCTATATATATTTGATTAAAAGGATGAGAATTTTTAAATAACTTATTCTTATTTTAAAGCCTCATGGCCATTCAAGTTTTGCAAAGTGTGTTTGCTGTGTAAGTAGCATAATGACTGTTCAGGAATAATATGAAAGGATTAGAGAACTGAAATGAAAGAAAAAAAATTAAGGATGTTTAGTGACACTGAAGTATAGTTCTAGACACTTAATTTCTGCATACATAAACCTTGTTATGAAATAAATATACAGATCTTTGTTACTGTTAGTTTCCTGTAGATGTCTCCCTCATGCAATGTGCACATTCCTTTGACCAAGTAGGTCTTGTAATAAAAAAACCAAGAAATTGCAGTGCAAGTACAGTTTCTCACATTTTATAGCTTTGGGTGCTAGATTTGGGTCCATTTTATAGATTTGGGTCAGTTCGTCAGTGCTAGTTTGTGCATCAGTATCTTCATATTTCTCTAGCCACCCTAGAGATTTCTAGTCATTTGAACAAGCTGAAGCCGATCTATTATTTCCCAAACATGATAAAAAGGATACATTTTTAGTGTACCATTCATCTTCCCACACTGCTATAAATGCTACTCCCAGGGGAATTTTGTAGGATGTCCATTTGTGCCTTCCTGCTATGCAGTTGAGGGATATCTTATGCAACCCCAGGAAAAAAATCCAGACCATTTTGTCTGAAGACAGGAAAATACTGAAGTCATACTATTACTCAAGCACAGTACAACCTCTGTTCTTCTGTGAAGCTACAAGCTCTCTATGGTTTTCTTAGATGGGGGCTGTAAGAGGTAACTCTGAGTTTTAAAAGAACATGGTTTTCTAAAAGTTATTCCCTGGAAGAAATTACCTTCTCTAGAAGAACCTTGTGGTTCTTCTTGTCTTTTAGTGCTATACTCCAAAGAATTATGTCCAAACTCCTACTAGAGAGCAATGAACTAATTAAAGAATCACTTAGCTAAAAGGAAGGATTGTCAGGTTGGTCAGGAGGCAAGCCAAGTTACTATTCTGTGTAACAATCTTAGCTATATTCATTTAGGTCTATTCTTTTCACCTCAATTGGAATACTCAGCTGCCAAGCATCATTATGCCAGGGACAAGCTGTGGAAACAAGAATTTTATTAACACATCATTGCAACGTACAGCTTTTTAACTGTCTCACCAATTCTTGCTAATAAGACATCAAATTAAGGTCCATTAAACTGTAACTTCTTAAATAGA